TAATAAAACAAAAACAAGGGCCTGAGTTCAATGCCCGGCTCTGCCTAAAAAAAAAAAAAAAATCTGTATTTTTTTCATGGTCAGCCTGATACCTTTTCAAAAATGTAGACAAGTAAGAGATAATATTTCCTACTTACCCTCCTGAGGCTCAGTGACAAAGCCACCAAAGACCTCATCTTGGTATCTGAAGATATCATTATGAACATAGAATTTATTTGCAACTGAGCCCTGCAATGCCAACAAGAAGCTTACATTATTCAACAGATTTTCACAAAGCCAAACCACAGGTGACATAAAAAGACCTCAGGGGAAAAAAAAAGACCTCAGAAGTGTCATGTACATGTACCAACACTCCACCATGAATGTCATCATTATGTATTACTAATAGGTACTAAAAAACTTAAAAAGCCAAATCATGCTATACAAATGGTCTTCATCTGTGGGAGACCTGGTCCTCAGCACATACTTGGCATTGTCTGGAGACCTTTCCACTTTGATTAAATAGTATTGCTACTATCAATCGGTAGAGAGCAACAGTAATATTAAATACCCTATAATGACAGCCACCCAAAAGAAGAATTAGCCCAAAATGTTAGCAATCCCAGAGAGAAAAACCCTGTTTTATACTACATATGTAAAAACAAAATCACATTCAAATACATTTTATTTGCTTAAAACATTTATTTTCACCATCAAATGGAAAGCAAAAATCTGACAGAACTCAACAGAAGATTCCAAAGCCAATGTTTCAAAACCATTAAGCTGCAATCATACTCCTAACTCTAGAAGATACTTCTAAATCTCTGCATCTGTGTCCACTTTTGATTCAAGCACTTTTAAGGATGGTGTAGTTGAAAAAAGCTTGATCACAACAGGCTAAAGACATACTCATGAAGAGGTTATCTATCTACTGACACGCATTAATAGTTTAACAATGCATACTCAGGTAAACTTAGATTATTAAAAGAAAAATGATCTTGTTCAGTCTGAACCGCTCTGGACAAAGGTACCAACCCAATTATTCACGATAAAATCTGTGTTCCTTTCACAGTCACCCTGAATGCAAAGAACCAGAGAGCTCCTTGTAGAAACAGCTGATTCCAGAATTTAGAGCTAAAGCAGGAAAAGCCCAAGGTAAGCTCACAATACCCTGTAACACAGTGACTCAAAGTGTTCTTCCAGCACCCGTGTGAGAGAGGCAAGGACACAGCTGAGTAGCAGAACACTCTGGGTTCAAGTCCAAGGTAGTGCAAAGGGAAAAAAAAACAGCTTGTGGGATTTACATTGCCCAGATCTGTCACATTCTGGACACAACATGAAGCTAGTAGTAATGGGTTAAAACTCATTTTATTTTACTTTGATTTCTGTAAGACAGCGTCTAGCAGTGTAGTTCAGGGTACCCTCGAATTCAGTGACCCTCTGGCCTCAGACTCCTGAGCTCTGGAATTATTAGCACATGCCACCATGCTTAGCTTTTAATTCATTTTAAAAACTAATCACTTGGGGCTGGTGAGATGGCTCGGTGGTCTGGAGCACCTACTTAGAACAGGCTCAGCAAAGCACAGGGACCGCGGTTCAATCCCCCAGCACCACATGCCAG